AATGTTATTAGCTTTCAGTGAGCAGACAAAAGGTCACAAATTGCCACAGAATGCGTCAGACCAGGAAATGCTTGAAATTGTCATGGGCAGGTGCGCTTTTTTCCAGTTAAATGTGTGTTTAGCTAGAAACTTCATGGTAGGCAGTGGATCATTGCAGTGGGCAGTAGTTAAATCTTACTAATGTTCACATGGAACTTAAATTTCATTTTTTCTTTTAGTTTTTAAATGGGAAGAGTCTTGGGATTGTCTGCTACTAGTATCCCATATATCGTGAACTTACAGTCTGCTGTGTACAGTGAACAGGATAAGGTTTGTTAATTATTAGTGGGCACATTGGATTCTTACTCTGTTACTAATGTTTATGCTTACCACACTCTATACTGGTTGTAGTATCTGCAACATGATGTGTATACCTCACCATCCTAAACCCTGCTCTTGTCCATTGACATGAAGTAGTTTATCCATCTGTATTTAGGTATGAGAAAGAAGTTATGCATCCCATCCAGAATCTTGTTGGGGAGAACTTGTTCGTTCTCTCCTTATACAGGCAAGTCCTCTTAACCTGTTTCATTTGGTAGGTTTTGGCTTAGCATTTGACTTTGAGCTCCTTTTTGTGGACAGGTTCAGAAGCTAAAGCTGGACATTGAGACGTGAGTTGAATAACTGAGATCTTGAGTAGAAATGTTTGAATAGAATGTCACTAGAATTTTGGGTCGCTCTTCCTTTCTTTCTTGCTATCCCCCTCACTCATAAACCTTTTTACCAAATTCTTAAACAGAGCAATGCTCGAGTTAGACCAGATTCTCAGGGCCAATGAGATCAACTTTGCTATTTTGGCTGCTTTACCAGCATTTGCTCTCTCCCTTATTTTGCTGATGTTGGTGCGCGCATGGCTTAAACAGGTCAGAATGACTCTTTCTAGTGTTATAAAAGCTTCAACAGAATTTGCTTGCTTGTTTTGGTTTATCATGTTAGAATTAAGTAGATAGTTCCTGGTATAAATGCTCTAGCCCTTTCATCTAGCTCAAAACTTCGCTGGCCATGGAACACGCCAAGATAATTTTGACGTTGGCATTTCTTGCCACTTCCACACAAGTTCATGCATTGCGCATAGTTTTGAACTCTTCATTCCTCATATTCCAAGATCACGATTCTACAATTATATCAGGTGTTACGAAACTATTTAACACTATATCTGTACTTGTTTCTCTTGAAATAGGATACAAGAGCAGAAGGTAGGGGAGAGTTGCTCGGATTCAAAGAAGGCTGCTTGTAGTTGAGATTGAGAGAGGGATTATGCAAATTCAGACTTGCAGAGATCAAGGGCTGGTAATTGCTCTCTTCATTGTTTTGTCCGGACATCAAACTATTTATCTGATTGTGTTCTACCAATTGCTTATTGCTAGTCCAGATTTACTGTCAGACTTGATTATAAAATTTATTCAGCTTGAAATCTCTGAACTTGTGCAGTAGCAGGATCTTCTAATTCAACATTGCTGTACTGTGTGTTCTCAACTGCTTCTAATTTTAGAAGCAGAATCGGAAGCCAAAAGCACCTATTGTGCTGCTGCTGATTTCCAGCTCTTTTGCAGGCAGAAAAACTAAAAGCAAGGAAATGAGAACAGAAGAAAGTAGCTTTTCTGCTTCAGGGTCCTAAATTATTTGAGAACAAGCTTGTAGTAATTTCTGCCAATAATCATATCAAGTTTAGTTACTAAATTGTTAATAAATCTCAAACACATTCTTGTCCATTTATACCCTCAGGAAACATTCCTGCATGGCGCACCTCATAGATCCCCTTAAGAAATATTCATTATGTCATACAGACTACTGCTTAGGTTTTTCTAGAATCTTTGTTTTTTCTCAATTGTTTCATTCCTATATTTCATTGGAATACTCCTCCAAAATCTTGTTCATGTGCTTGCTAGCTTGTGACTGCACTACTGAATTTAGGTTGGTTGCATGCTGCTTTGTTTCGAACTGCTTTACTATTGATTGATTTGCTTTATTTCCTTTAGTTGTAGACAAATCTGCTTTGATGGTAATTACTCTTTAGAAACAACTTTGATTGCCTCGACTTGTACAAAATTAAGGTTGTCTTCTCTATTTTTTTCAAGGAAAATGATGCTGAATGCATGTTTGGGCTGGTTTTGTATTCCTTGGATCGCTTATACTGTGCTGTGGAGAGGCATGCAAAAGCAACCGGTGAATGGATGTGGTTAGTTCTAGTTCATCTTTTTATTTCTCTTAGATTTCTACATTTCTTTTTCCGTCCTTCTTCAGTGTGTCTGCATATTTTGGGCGTATGAACATCTGGGTTTTTGTTCATCTTTGCGTGCATTAAAGAGAGTGACAAAAGGACACTCACTCAATTATGGAGCTAATCATTGTATATTTAAACAGTTTGAGACAGGATATATATGATTTGGCGAAGCCAGGCCTTCAATCTGCAAATAAGCTCAGGATTACATCGCGCATGGAGCGGGTGTACGACTGCTTGCTTCCTTCGCCAAAACGACAATGAACCTACATTGGTTTCATAAAATTTTGCAAGACTACGTACGCAAGACATTCGTTTGGAAGAGAACTGATAGATGGTTTTTCTTTTGTAACCGACATGCTTCAGTAAATTGTGAGCTGCAAATTTTGGAAAGAGTTGCAGCACAGGGGCATCATCTTTTTGGTATAGCAAGAACTGAGCTTTCTCCTCCCCTTTTCTGGCGGTATATACCCAAGTTATTGACTCAAGAATGGTGGAAGATGGTTTGTTGTTATTGTCTACAAATTACTCAAGACAACTACAGCTGGCTTTTGAATATGTTCTCTAGTACAGCTTTGGGAGATCAGAGAAATGAGGGGTCTATGCAAATTATATTTGGTTTTATTTTCTTTAAAGAAGGGTAAGGTATGAGCAAACTGATGTGATTGTAAAGATGTCATACTAATCAAGCACAGAAAAAAGCATGTTCAATCACTACTTATCTGAGTAAACAAAAAAGTGGTTCAGATGAAATAAATCATGACAGTAATTCTTTGTCTAATTATTTAGTACGCTGTCCAAACCCAAGTGGCAACAAATTTACAAAATGCATGGAACGAAATTACTGCTCTAGTCTGCTATATGGATTAATTCCTTAAATCAAGCATAAACTTGTTTACTTAACAAAAAAGAGACTTGAAAACTGCAAAATTGTGGATTTGGGATTTTGGATGGGGTGATGTAGTAGCGTAAGCGGTTCTTAATCTGTTGTCGCTATGGAAAGTACGTCTAGGGCATTTCATATTCTCAATTTGACTCTGAAAATAGAACCTTTGATTCAACAGATCATAGAAGGATATTCTAAAGCAAAACATACTGGGGGAATCAAAGCATTTGTTCATTATCCCCCAGACATGAAATCTCAAAATTAGCACAATGCTCTTCAAGCTCAATCAGAAAAGCATTCGAGGAATTCCTGAGCATCTTCCTCACAGAATCATTGAAAAACAGATGAAAATTTTGGTAGCTGAAACATTAAGGAAGACGAAGAGCACGACTTGTACAACTGAAAAGGCAACTTATACACTAATAAATGAGCCAGAACCCGGAACTGCAGTATTCAACTTAGAGGCGATGAATAGGTGACAGTGTTTCCACCAAGATCAATATAATCTTCTCTAGTATTTGGACAAAGAGTAAAACATATTTATAGAAAAGCCAAACTCCGTAAAGCATTCTGCTACTGTATATTTAGAAGAGAATACAGTTCACATTGTCAACAAATTTCAATGGAAAAGTGATCTTTGCCAATAGCGACCAATGAAAGCTGAACATGCTCATATAGGCTACAAAATATGCTGAAACATTCACTGTTGCCTGCAAACAACATTAGAGCTCGACTATTCGATTACAACAGAAATTGAACCGTATTCCGCGCTTACTCAACTGAGACACTCTGCTAAACGTAAATAAAAATTTGAAATCAATGTGTAAGGCATTCACGTTTCCTGATTGAACAGCCTCAGCCAGTATCTGCTCCATAAAATATATTGCTGTCTGAGACTCAATTCATCAGCAACTTTTCACCACATGGAAAGTAAGGAATTTTTTTTCCCTTTTTGGCAAAGCCCCATAACAGAGGATGCCATCCCAAATTTTGTTATGCTATATAAATAAACAAAATTGGGAAGAGGCATAGACCTAACTTCAAATATAGTTATCGCCCCAGCTAAGAACTTGCCTGGAAGGTTTACAAATTTTTTTTTTTTGAACTGGGCACGTCTACAGGAGTCCGTCATACGCTGATATGAAAGCTTGTACTGAAGAAAGAGCGAGAGTCATGGAAATAATCACAGAGCCCGTCAAGATCAACAACATAGCAAATGCCAGAATAGGAATTGAAGTTGGTGCTATGAGGATTATTGAAATAGAATAGCTAAGTGATAGAGCTATTCCTACACATCCCATATAATAATAAAGGGTTCTGGGGAGCAAACGGAAGATAATTCGAAGGGAGGCTGCAAAGATTATTGTGTTCAAGTAAACAAAAATTGCGAAATTTATTCCCCCCATTTGTGCTGTTCCTCTGGTGTTATTGGTGTCTTCAGGTGTACTGATACTGGCAAAACTTGAACTAGAAGAAATATTGCAAGGCTGGTTCGAAAATGAATTGCTATCACCTCCTGATGAAGTTCCACCCGGAGGGGTTAGTACCATGGTTCAAAGTCGTGGTCGCGGTCACGGTCGCGGCCTGGAACGTTCCACATCGGTCTCGGCATATCGGTCGCGGTCTCGGTGAGACGCAAATTTTAAAATATTTAATATTCTAAAAATTATTAATAATATAAAAAAAGTATGCTAAACAAAAATAATAAAAAATAGCAAAAGAAATGGCCGAGTCAATCTGTCACGGTGTAACTCGGCCAATTTCTCGTCTTGACTCGGGATAACTCGGAGTGACTCGGTGTGACTCGGCCGAGTCAATCCGTCGCGGTGACGTCTCGGCCGATTTCTCGGCGAGTCAAATATCTCGGTATCGTTTCGTCACGGTATCGTATCGGTAGGGACCGAGACGGTGACGACTCGGCCGATTTCTGGTGAATGGTTCCTTTGAACTCAAAATATCAGCGAAAGTTTTAGCCGGATGTAGAGCTGAAGATCTTTTAGCACCTGCACAGCGTAAAGCTTTAGCAATTCTCCCATCTCCTGCGATTGCGAGTCCCATAAAAGTATCGAGGCATGTTAATCCTTCTAAGTTCTGTTCATTTATTCTCACTTCGTTGATCAGGAACTTTACAGCCTGAAGAAATGACCAAGAATTTAATAAAATAGCCAGCAGATTAATTAGCTGATCAGAAGCTTATTATAGAAATTGCATATAGGAAGCTTACACATCGTGCCTTGTACGAAACATACAATGCGTTATTATCTTACCAAATATTATAACGCACTTTTGTGGTCATCAACGAAAATTTAAGCTACAAAACTGCAAAATTCATAAATCTTTTAGCCTAAAGTGACAAAATTCCCTCCAAAGTACACTCCACCTGCGCCACTTCGACCAGACTGGCCACCAAAAAATGAGGACGAAAGTTACTCAAGAAGGGCTAAGTAGACTAGTAGAGCTTAGGTCGGATGTAACGCCAAATTTCAAATGGACCAAGTTCGTGCTGCAGTGTCTTAGATCTGTCCTCATTTTGTCAGAGCAAAGTATGAAAGGATTTGTGTTAAGATGATAAACGATAAAAATATGCAAAAAGGTCAAAAGACATTTGCATATTTCCCATATTTATTTAATCAACATACAAGAAAAAACTAGGACAAAGATTTCTTGCCTCAAAATTATTTGTAGAGGCTGCAATATGCAAGGCTGTCTCTCCATTCTCATCTTTCCAGTTCAGGATCTGTCCATTAATGTTTCCTCTCTTGAGCCAACCTAAAAGCACCTGTAAAGCCCTGACATTTTTGTTTCTCACAGTAAAATGAACAGCCGTTTCTCCTCGAATTGTCAAATCTTGAATGGATTGTGGACAGGCCACTAGGAGATCGGCCAAAAGCTCAGCGTCACCCACTTCAGCTACATAGTGCAAAGGCGTAAACCCCTCTCTTCCTTTGACGCGAATGAGCTCAGGATCATGCTTAACCAGCCGTTTTACTGTTCCAGTTTTCCCACTTCGCAGTGCCAAGTCCAGTGGAATATACCCGTCCGGGTTGAGCTTCGTGCGGAATGATGGCTTTAACCTTAGGATTTCAATGGCAAAGTGGGTGGAGCCAGCAGCTGCTGCTATGTGTGCAGGCGTATCCACAAATGATGGCTCATCATATTTATCCAGAAGAGTTGGATCCTGCCGGAGTGATTCATATAAGGCGTTTATGTCTCCTGATTGAGCTGCCTTATCCAGGATCTGCTCCATAACTTGCTAAGAAACTTAATTCAGCAAAATTTCACCACATATTTATAAACCAATTACACTTGTAGAACTTATACTTAATCGCCCTAGCTAAGAACCTGCTTGGAAGGTTCACTGACATTCCTTGGCATTTTACATAATCCAATCCAATATTTTCTTTTTTTTCAAGTCTTAATAATCGAATATTTACATTGTTGTACCTAATCCTATGTCTCAGCAATTGTCTTTAGTCTTGGCTCTATTCTGGGGCGAGGCAAGAATATTCTCGTCATGGGGCACAAAAAATTATTCTCATCTCATACTTCAATTTTTTAGCTAGTCGACCAAGCATCTATGTAGCCTCTACAGTTTTTTTTTTCCCCTTAATTTGAGTCATTTGACAACCACTGTATATGAAGTGCAAGGTACAGACAATAAATACTTGTGCAGGAAATATATTTTATCTTTTAGTTATATATGGTAACAATTAATATAATCACTCACTCTCCAATATAACTTGATAATATGCAGCTTTATCTCCATAATGCACAAATCCCTTCATCATTCAAGCATTGCACTTCATCTCCCAACTATTTTGAATCTAAGATTTTGATTAGCAACAGTATAAATTTCTTGACAATATTGATATTGATCCGAACAAAAGTGGTGCTATTACGATAGATGAGTCCTTATTCCTTGTACTCGATTTTGTGTTGGGGAGAGTCGAACAAGAGGACAAGAAGAATGAAAAGGTTAGATTAGCACCACATTAATCCTCAAATCGCCTAATTTATGGATATAGAAGATCAATTGTTTTTAATGGACCAAATTGGAAAACAAAAGATTATAAAATAAAAACAAAATACTCTATAAAATTGGCTATGGTGATGAGAAGAAGTGAATTTCATATTTAGCCAAATCAGAAATTGGAAAAGAGAAGAGTTCCATTAAACATTTTGTAATTTCCTCAAGTGCTAGGACTTATGAAGATGGTACTGGAGTAAGTACTAATGGTAGATGATTATTTGGTCAAACAATTTGGCATCTGAGATGGATGTAATCTTCCAAAATGGTACTCTTCGTGGACTGAGAAATCTTTGAGCAATCATCTTGCTCCTATCTGACTGAAAAATGAATCTCAACATAGAATTTAATTTTCTAAGTTTTTGAAACTCCCACCAACCAAAGAAATTTAAAGCCTTGTTTGGATTGCTGGTCTCATTGGTAATTTTTTTTTCCAATTTTTTAGGGATATTTTCTTAATACATTTTCCAATAACTTCTTTTTTTTAAACCTCAAATGCAACACATAATGAAAAGAACTATAATGGTATTTTTTCCTACAAAATTTGCAAAAATGAAATTCAAATGGGCTCTAAGCATTAGGGGTATGATAAAAGAAAAACTCAAAAGTTAGAAGAGATTCAAGTGTAATTTAAGAATTTCTTGTAATTCATAATTTGAGAGTAATTAACGATTTATCCTTCTTTAGTTGAAATGCAGAGATGAGATACACCCTATGATTGATAGAAAGAAAGAAAAATAGAGATTGCATGAGTCTGAAATGATGCATCAAAGAATATAGAAATCACCAATAAGATAAAAAAATATATATGTCATACATCCAATCATTAGTTGTACACAAAAAGTACTATCATCCTTATGATATAGGTGTAATAATATTATGAGTATACAATAATTTTGTTAAAATATGATAGTACCCTTCATTATCTAATAGATTTTGAGCTATTAATCATGTAAAAGCTGGAAAACAAAAAAGTTCTAAATATGTTGGATCCTTGACTGTGAATTATACTAAGTTTTTTTAATTAAGAATAGTTAAAGAAAATAAAAATCACACTAATATTATGTTATGAAGTTGACGATCAAAACATTACTAGTAGTTTAAAAAGGTGTTAAAATGTGTTTTATTTTGGGATGACATAATCAGGTTCTTAGCATGTATGGTATCCCACATTAACCATTTTGCTGCCTTGTATTGAAAAACACACATATACAGCATTTCTAGGAAAAACACTCCAAAAAACAACTAAAAGCTAATAACATACCCAAATAATAGACCAAAACATATCCAAAATATTCAAAACCACAGAGACTCATCATAAAATATTGATTTGATGTAATGGAGGACAAACACATGTTACTCGGTCATCCAATCGAGGGGTTTATGCGCAAGAAATATGAATTCCACGAAATTAATTTTGCTACAATTGATATTGCTATTTTATTTCTTTCAAGATGTGGTGCAGGCTTATGTACATGGGTGTACTTATATATTGAATTGACATATATGAATAAAATTCATATATGCAACAAAATAATGCTAATTTTTACCAGATCAGATAAAATATGCAAAAATCATACAATCGGATTAAAACCTCAAATATGCTTTGCCCAAACCCTATTTTGTTTTTTCTTTGTCCAAAGTTTTTTCTTCAATTTGATGACTAACTACCCCACCTTGTTAATAAATAGTAAGAAGCACTCCCAGCCAAATAAACTTTCTACATTTTTGATGACGAGTGTCCATCAAAAGCAAAGAAGAGAAAAGAAAAGAAAGAAAACAAGAGAGAGACTTTGTTACGTCTACTTTCGGTTCATAGATATTGCACTTTGAAAAGTCTATTTTTTTTTTTTTTGAAAAGTCCAAGGCATCATTCTCGAATGGTGGATTAAAAAAAATATCACTTTGAAAATCCAAAGACATCAATTTGCGTCAGCCACACTGTGCCCTCAAACAAATTAAAAAAAAAATCACCTTATAATCCTCTTTTTTTGATTCAAGAGAGATTGTAGAGTAAAAGAAGATGACTTGAGATTAAAATTAAGAACTTTATGCTTATTTTGGCTAATATTTTGGACAATTAGATAGAGTATCGGGGACAATGATTCATCTAAAAACTAAAGACATATAGAAGCTAATTTTATTCTAGATATTCCCTCTGTTTCATTTTGATAGTTTTAGTTTTTTTTTTCACACAATTTAAAAAAAAATAGTTAATTTTGTTGGAACAATAAATTTATATTGCTATTTTCCTAAAATACTCTTACATTCAATAGAGTGCAACTTTATATTAATTATTCATGTGGAAACTTGAATTGATGGTTTATGGGAATTAAACTGATGATCAAGAAACAATCAATCCCCATTTTACATTATTTCACATTTTAGCTTGAAAGAATAACAAAGCTGGCTTATCATATATTAATATGTTTTAGAAAATCTAAATGTATTAAATGGGGTAGGTTAACAATATATATTAAATAAAGTAGTTTATACTAATAACAACCTACATTGAATAAGGGTATTTTAGAGAAATTAAAAGATAGTTACATTTTTTAATTGGAGAGTGGACTATAATTTGGGATAAATAAAAAAGGAAAACAGGACTATCAAAGTGGGATGGAGGGAGTAGTACTTAACACATCATCTATATCCATAGGCAAAGAATGAGCTGAAAGTGTTTAATTATTTTATTTGCTCTTTAACTCAGTCAAAGTTGACCGTTAGAAAAAATCAAAATAAAAAACGAAGACGTTGATTTGTAGCCCATAATTAATAAAAGAAGAACAAGCATCAAATTGATCCAACAAAAGTTCTAAACTCGGAGATCTCCTTTAAAGTGGTCTCAAGAGCAGAAAGAGATGCATACCATTCTGCTTTTGCAGATATGGGATTATCAAATAATTTTTGCAACTTTGATCCATTACACTCCACGTACATAGCAGCAAATTATCAAATAATTTGCTGCTACTCCTACATAGCAACCTGGCTTTAGGGCAGTTATTAGTTGCAAACTTCAATTTTTTCGATAATCACGGAGAAATTTGCAATCAGTACTACCCAACAAAACGAGCAAAGGGAAAAAAAACTGCTTTGCAAAAGTTGTTTTCTTGGGAAACAAATGCATACAGATCGATGTGCTTTTCTTTTGGAAAAAAGTAGAAATATACGTTTTGTTAAAATATGGCTTCAAGGTAGGAGAAACTCAATTTCAGCAATCATAATAATTAGAAAAGCTACATAGATGTCAACGCAGCTCGAAGTGACAATCAGGATTGTCATTGCAGTGCTTATTTCAGAAGAAAGAAAATTATTCGACAAGGTGAAAATGTGGTAACAAAAGCACCAGTTCATACCTCATCAACTTCATGACAAGAATATTCAAGGGATGTTTCAACTACAAGGTTAGTGAGAACTTTGATATACCAATTGATTCATAATTTAGAGGAAGAAAGTGGCCTGCATTTTTTATCACCAATTTTTAACAAGACCTGCAGTTTTTATAAGACATAACGAATAAAAACGAAAGGAGCATAAATACAGATGCAAACCGACAAATTACTAGGAACTAATTTTGTATTAGCTTAATATCTTCTATTAACTTCGCAACCAGCAACAGAGGAAATCGAAACATCACCATCACAACCGTTAAGGATATTGCACAAGACTGTTCATAGTCAGAGTAGAGTTGTCATCCCTTGCAAGTTTGAGACTCTTCGCTCTCCAGGGCGGTCGCCCACCTGGGCAGCCAGCGCATTATGTCGGCGGAAACTCTGACGCTGAAGATTGATTGGAAGAGGCTGCAACTTTGACTTTAAAACTGATAGTAACAATATTAAGATCCTGAAAGCTATCGGGAAGTGAGATAATTCCCAGCATGGACAGGGATCTTGCCAGTAGAAGTTCAGAATGCAGAATGTTCAAAGTCGTAGATGATCTCTAGTAACATAATAATTACCAATATGGGCTCTATTTTTACGCCACAGAGCGCCCAGGTTACTTGCAATGATTAAAAGACGGTAGTAGGGATAAATCATGGATAAATAGAGAACAGTAGAAATAGGTAATTCTGGTGATATAATCCTCAATGAGACGCCGTAGATGAATGAAAGACTAGCGTAGACCAGCCGCACATAAAATACCTCGGAAGCAGCTTCAAGATAGTTACAAGAGAGGTCCAGAAAATTATTGTGTTGAAGAAATAAAACGTCCCGAACACT